CGCAGCAAATGACCACACCCACCGCACACACACAGTTCTACCACTCTCTTGTGAAAACCACCACGCTCCATCGGCACCTGGGCGGTTTCTCCACAACCCTCACCTACAACACATCCCTGGAGCCCTTCCACGGTACATCCAACCCACTCCACCGACTACCAAACATTGCAGAGACGCGCGTCACCAAGTCTGTCCATGCCGCCATCTCTGATGGCTTCCTCAACCACCTTTTGAGTTGTACGGCTCTGATTGCCGACGACAACACATCACAGCTCGTCATCGTGGAGCGTGTTCGGACGCCGAGATTCCACGCCGCGCACAGGAGTAGAGCCACCTCGCAACCCTACCACCAGAACGAGTCCACACAACGCCGCTTGTGCAAACACCATGCCTCATCTCACATGCATTCATGATCTAACACAGCAGTGAGAGATCACTACCTGCCCGCCCACCTACCTACCTCACTTACGCGAGTGCGACGTGGAAAGTAGCACACTAAAATCTTGGCATTATTGCTCGATGCACTACTTAACAACAACCTCGCTTTCTTCGCGGACCTAACTTGGTCACCTCTTTGCTCGGGATTGCGGCCAACTTTAGGCCGAAACATTTTGGAGAACACTTCAATTAACCAAGGGCTCAATCATCTACATTCGTCGAAACTATCGTCCTTGCAAACACAGCAACCCACCTGCTCATAGCTCGACAAGTAAGAAGACTGACAGCGGCTGCTCGCATTATCAACAAAAGCATCATCCATCTCACAAATGTTCATTTTATCCAGAAAATGGGACCAAAAATGGGACCAAAAAGGGAAAGGAGAAAGCCCACCAAAGAATTCAGGCGTTGGTTACAAGAGAAGGCACATCACCACCTGCTCGGGAGAGGGATGGGAGCACAAGGCCGCACTCGAGGGTGCCAAACATTAATGCATGTACAGTTACACAGACGTCTATAGAAAAAATGCAATTGCAGAGGATCAGAGGTCATGAAGATCACGAGATGTTGCATCAACAGAAAGACGTTGTTTTGAGTACGAGTTGTTTTGTTAAGCTAACGATCACCATCACTCTTAGTTCGGGCACACCGTCTATAGATGATTGAGGGAGGTGACGGGATCATAAAAAACAAGAGGTGAAGCAAGGAACACTAGTTGGCAGAAGTTGCCATGGTACTGCGTTCCCAGGGGGCACCAACTACCATGAAGTCATTCTGATCCGGGGGTGGCTGTGCTGCTGCCGATTTCCGGTGGCTATTTTGGTCCTGCCGCACGTCAACCGGGTCTGGACATTGATCAACCTAGGCAAAGAAATAAGCGCTCGGCCATCGATATCCCATTCAAGCATCGCACAACACCCTTTACACTCGTAAAACAAGGTTCCTTAAGTGACCCTCTGTTCACGAGCATCCAAACATACCCAAGACGGGAGTATTTAAGTTCGTCGAGGATGGGGACATCATAACCACCAACTCACCAAGTCGTTGGCCTTATTGATAAGTTCGTCACACGCGCGATCCACATCTGATGGAGCCCCCATGACAAGGACTATGTCAGCAGCCTCTCCACTGACTCCGCGTGGCGGGAACTCCACTTCAACATTATACGTCTCCTCGATGCGACGAATGTTGTTTCGACGAGTTCCAATCAACCGAGCGTATATCTATTGAACAAAATACTGGTCTGTAAGGCCACCTCCCGTTGTGCGCAGGCACCTCAACAACACACCTTCCATTATGCACACTTGATTTAGCAAATCTGCGCTTCAGATTGGGAATTCCTTACTCAACACACATCAACATTTTAACTTGCACGATAAGCCAGGACACCTTGCAAGGCTCCACGGCAAACACATCTGCAATCGATGCGCCTTAATCCCCCTAATTGTAAGGTTAGTCAAAATTGAAACACCACTTTAAAATTCACCCTTGAGGGAATGTGCAGTTCCTCGCAGCTGAAAGAACCAAACTTCTCAATGAGCTCCTCCAGCTCGCGACGGGCCACGACCACCTTCTCCTTGTAGCCCTGAAGTACTAGGGGCACCGGTGCAGACCGCACGAGACGGTATCCTGCGAGATGCTCCCTGACCGGCTGATGCATCGAAGCACCGGCTGATTCTACCTTCTCACCATTCGATGTTGTTGGAGATCCAGCAGCACCTCGACCACGAGTGAAGATTGCTACACCATGCTGCTTTAACAGGCGGTCCTTCTCATTTGTGATAATCCGGCTCAGGAAACGCTCTTCAACGTCCAGCGACTCCTCGTAGTTACGAGCCTCCCTGTCTGCTTTCGCTTCCTGCAATTGGGTCTCGAAGGCCAAAATTTCGGCCTTACATGCCTCGACAGCGTCCGGGGCACCGCGGACGGTAAGTTGGTCAACACCCTGCTGAGCCCTCGGTGGGACAGTAATGGTAACCTATTTCAACAAAACGACTCACGTTAAATGACTACGTATTGATCGGAAATAACCGCGACACCTACTTCAGACTATCAGGAATGCAAAATTTTCAATTGACTTTGCATTGCATTCATTTCCTCGAAACCAAGTGAATTGCAACTACTTACCTTGCTCACCCCTTAAAACGTCACATGCACAAAAGCACACGATGTCAAGGAACAATGTGGGTTATGCGAAAAGTCCTAGCACTGCACTAAAACGAAACATACATTGTATTTACGCTGCAGGGCATTCAACTTGGTTCTTGGTGCGTCGCCTTCTTCACCCGAATTGACGACTGCGATACCGCCGCGTTCGCGCTGATTGCGATGACCGCTACGCACTTGTTCTGGTTGCCGCCCCTGTCTGTTATTCGACTGCGGCTGGTGCGGTGGATGCACAACGGAGAAAAGCATTCCGTAGAATTCGTGTGGGAACGGCACTACTTCCAAAATTGGAAGCCGCGGAATAATTTCGTTTTTCAAGACGTTTGAGATTTTTTCGGGCTGTCCGGTGAGAATTATGCGTCCGTAAACGGTTTGCCCATCGTCACTTTCTTGAAAGCCGTCTATTGAAGAAACCAGGACGAACAAATCAAGAGCATGTTGAATCCGGCACAGATATCTGCTGGATCCAGATTACGGGCAATAGACGTACCTTTATTTAGCTGCAAACGAATGAGTACGCCGTAATTTCGTTGAAAATCAGGAAGAGATGAACGAAGGCGACTAAGTACCTGACAATGACTAAGCTCGGTGACAAGATGTACTTGCTGTTGCTGTTGTTTAATCTCATTAATTATGCCAAGTACGCATTGTTCGGCATCCTAAAGAAAGCATGAAATTATGGTCTGACATGAATTAAAGTTGCAGAACGCAGTGGACACGCATTAATGTGTGGACTTTTTCACAACGGTTTCCATTGTCAAAGGGTGTATTAAAGGCAGTTTTGAGGGTAAGGACAAGAAGGGTTACGAAATGAGTAAAGCAATGAGAAATGCACACTTGGAAAGAACCCAAGCACTAACAAAAGATGGTAGCAATTTTACGATCTTGTCGTGCTTAAACCTTTTCCAAGCCACAAACAAAAAATAAGCACTTCGCCAAGAGATGCTGAGCACGAAGCAAGCCCAGTAATATACCACAAGGCCAAGTGTTCCTCTATGCACAATGCAATCACGGAATGAGCTTATCCGTCTTACCTCAACGCAGCCTTTGGCGCCAAAAATGCGAATTACGGTATCTTCATGTGGGCTGTTGCCGATCTCCGTATTCCTTTTACCAGTTGGTGGTGTGTTTGAACCCTTAGGGAATATGACCTTAACACGATCCAATTCGGGATACTGGAATGCGTTCCGGTAGTTCCAAAGATCATTGACGATAGAGCCATCACATCTGATGGTTGTGTCAACCTCGTCTTCCTAATAGATGATCATAATTAGAGCTTATTAGGACAATACATATTAATAGAAAACAAGGATGGAGACCCAGACTTGTTACTACATTGCTAATAGCGAGCCCCAACGATCAAAAAGCATAAATCTCCGATTAAATCAAGGAGTCAAGACGCGAGGATTAATAACTATATTGGTTACAGAGACGGCAGAGCTATAGTATTTAAAGCAGAATATTTCCAAATCGACATAGAGGCAGTTTTAAAACAGGTAAGCAAACGCGACGAGTTACATATATTCTAAAAAAACTTAATAGTTAGATTTTAAAACGAATACCTAGGTTATCCAGCTTTCCTATCCATTTAACACCAAGTAATGGTAAATTAAAGGATGAAAACGACTAACCATAGCTTTAATAATTTCCTCAAGGTCATTCTGGGCCTTGGCGACGGCCTCCTTCTCTCCAATAATATGAATTTCAGAGGCACGCTTAGGATCGCTCTCGATGCGATCGGGGAATAGTACCTCGACGTCATGCTTTTCACGAAACTTCCTTAAGCTGGCACCACCACGACCAATAAGTTGGCCATGAAATTTCGGATCAGCGTGGACAACAGTCTGCAAATACAGAAATGTAAAATTCAAGTCGGAAACACAGCACAAATAGTCTAGACGAGGAAACGATCTTAGCAAATAACTATAAGTTGGATTTATCAGAATGTGCGTTTGCCTGGGTTCAACCATAAGTCATTAGAGTAACTAAGACCCAAGTCCATGAGAATTCAAACACAAACAGCAAAAACTGTCACAAACTTTGAGTGACATAACGATTACAAATGTTAAATTTTAGTCGATTCGCTCAACCAAACGACTTGAGGCACTTTCATGGTTAGTGGGATTAATCCATGTTTAACAAATCTAGCAACTGTTACCCTCAAAACAACTAACAAAGCGAACGAAATAAGTATACAGCAATTAGCCTTCTCAAAATGCATGCGACTTATCGCTCTGTCCGATTCAAACTGCAGGCCTTCGAATGATTAGTCAGAATTAGAGCAGTGGCCCAAAGAAATAAGGAAATACAGCGGTGCGTACATCAGCACATCGTTCCAACATTTTAGCGCACATCGAGTCTATAAGAGCTTTTGCTTTTTTTAAAGCCTCCGGCGGACCCGATATGGTGAGTTGGCGTGGTTGGTCTGGAGAGGACTTAAGCTGAACACCTTCGCACTGCTCGCGGATGGATCGAAGGCGAGCACCTCGTGTGGCCGCGTCGCCGGCCTGCTTAGTGAACATCAATGAAGGCAGAGTAATTGTTGTTTCCTCAATGTTTGCCTGAAAAGGACACGGTAAAATTCATGACTTGACACACATGAGCACGAGGGCAAGATTTTGAAGGTGTCAAATGACTTGAATACGGGTGCTGTGAGGAAAACGGCGAAGAAAATCAGTTCAGAGGGCAAGGGAAACGACACAAATTTACTATTGGCTCGATATCAAATAACACCCTGATGGTTATATAATACCTTACTTTCTCAATCTACGCGGGTCCCAAATTGCGTCGGGAAATACCCGACAAATGTGCAGTACAGAAACCAAACTCCACTCTTAAAAAGTCCAGGAAAGCCGGTTATGCAAAACCATGTAAACCGGAGCCACCATAGACCTCATTTGAGCAAAATACGTGAATTTGGATGATGTCAAAAAGCCCTCTTTAAACAGAGCACCATTAAGAATCCAAGCCAGCGCAGCCTAAGGTACTGAATTTGACTTTTGGGAAGTTAACGAGTAACTGAACTTCGTAAGGACCAAAAATAATAATTTTGACATAACAGCCACAAATTAATGCCCACCCCGTTTTCACTGAAACTAGGAGACTGATTTTGGGCCGATGATGAACCCAAACACGTACCATGGACTTCTGCAGCTTCTCAAGGCGCGAGATCGCAGAATCAACATCTTCTTGACGACCAATAATGATTACAGGTTGAGAACCATCAGTCGAAGGGGGAAGATAACGAATGCGTGTTTTAGTCTCCTTCAACAAGTTGACAATTGGTGCGCCTAAGATGCGCTGCAAGCAGTCCTTGAAAATGCGCAGCTGGAAGAGATGTGCTCGTTTGTTAATGAGGATTTGCAATAAACAACAATCACCCCATAAAATGTGCAATCCCGAAATGTAGAAAAGTAGGCCAGTATGACCCGCCCAACAGAATTGCTGCGAAAGTTGGCAATAAACGATTAGGCGAATATTAAAAGTTGAGCCTTAGATGAAAATTAGCAAACGGCGAGTTCCCACCACAAAATATTAGTTGTGTAATTAGATTACATAATGTTTCATTTAAACTAGTAAAAAAGAAACTATGGCAATCTTAATGGCGAAACTAACTTTTGGCCTAAATTTCAGTCTACCAAAGCGCAACCAAGCTTGATGTTGAATAACGAAATCGGTAATAAACGATACTCAAGTGAATTGGGTACTCCAATATAGCGTTAATATTAAAGAATTCGGCACTTGAGAGCACCAAGCAGATAGGTTTGATTATTCGAAAAGTTAAAAACGAGGTGATCAAATCTGTAGATTTACCTCTTCTTCGTGGTTCTCTTCCTTAATCTGCCGAATAAGTTTACTAAGTTTATCGAATGCGGCGTCCACTTGATCACGAACACCACACAACTGCATAACGTATTCTGTTGTGTTGTTACCAGCACTTGGGCTGTTGCGTTGCTTTTCGTTGACCCCAGATTGGAGCTGAGGCCAGACAATATTAACTTCAGGGTAGTCCTTCTCAATTTGAAAAATCGGAGGAGGGTTACCGGAGCGTAGTAGCCGCTGGATGTGCGGGTCAACGATTACATCTTTCACTTTTTCATTTTGCTGAAGAGGAAAAACGAATAATGCGAAAGTCTATTTATCGGCCATACAGAGGGAACTGAAATACGAACAGTATAGCATGGACATTCGTTAAGCTCCATCAGTCTTAGATTAACATATTGTGGGGAAATGATAATGGTAAACAAAGTAACAATTAAGGTTAATGCCACATTACAGGCAATTGAAAACACGATGGACATAAAAGTGTACACGTTTGGCAAATAGTATAACGACTTACCCATTTTTTGACAAGCCTTGCGATCTCAATCTTGACCATTTCAACGTCTGTCTTTTTACCTTCAAGGAAAATATGCGATTCATTCGCTGGTTTTTCACACTCTGAAGGGGTTGGGAGTCGAACGTTTAAGCGGCCGTTGCGAATAAATTGAAGTAGACTCTCGGGACCATCGCCTAAGAGTTTGGCACGATATTTAGGGTCGACAACAGCAAAGTCGAGGAAATGAGAGTCATTCAATTCAGAAACCCTTGTATTTAGACGGTCAACAACGACCGATACTTCTTCTGGAGGTCCTTTAACCATTATTTTGTCTCCAGAAATTGGAAATTCAACACGAACCTACAAAATGCAAGAAGTCCAATTCAGGAAACAAATATTCACAAAGCCTAAAAATATAACTGAGCACGCACTTACAGCTTGGTAACCATCACAAATCGAAGCAAGGCATGCGCCCTTCTTGCCAATTAGCATTTTGTGGAGACGATGGGGGGCCGTGACTTCCCCAGTTGCTGAACTAGAAGCCTGTTGATAAAGCATCGTTGTGGCCCGACCAAGGTCCTCAGGAAAGCCTCGAAGCACAAAATCTTCATCATCGGGATTTTGAGGCGGCTCAACAACAACATTGGTTTTTTCAAATATTTCACTTAAGCCGTATCCCCGATGCCCTACTACAAGACAGTGTTTTTCGGGTGGTATAGGAACGGAGATAGTTGCACAACGCTGGGAACGAATTCGATAGATATTGTTAATTTCTGTTAGAGCCTTCTTTACATCGTCTTTCTTTCCCGTAATAATGATGTCGCAATTTGACGAGTCAGTAGAAGGAATGGTAATCTTGGTGTTCGTCCGCTCCTTTAATTCCGTTATGGTCCGGTTATATCTATATTTATTTAAAAAAAAGTGTAGGCAACAATCACGTAACCGACAATAATTACAACTAGCAATCGCAGAATAAAATTGCAGGCCATGTTACTTACGGTCCATAAATAAATGGAAGGAAAATTTTAGGAACCGAAATACGTTCAGTTCCTTGCTGGGCGTAAAAATCCACAACACGACGTATCTCCTTTTCGGCGGCATCTAGCTTACTAGGCGATCCCGTTATTACAATATCCGTCGAATTTCTCCCAGGAGGGGGAATCATGATCTTCGTCAGCGTGGCAGCCTCCAATTCGCGCCTTCGTCTGCCTTGGGGGCCGATCAAAAAACGATGATACTCTGACGGAATTTTAACAATTTTCTGCGCCTAAAAAAATGATCGATACCGCAGAAATTAAGGTAGGTGCTAACAATGACAACAGCTAGCAGAAACAGCCTAATTACCTGTTGCTGAAGGTCCTGGATGATCATAACTTTGGCTTTCGCCACCTGTGCAGGTAAGCCGGTAACAATGGCGTTCAAAGACTTGTTTTTGGAAGTTGTAAGCTCAATTTTAACACCTAAACTTTTTCCTATAGCTGCACAGACTTTTGATTGATCTGATGCAACCAAGTCTTCGGATTTATTCGACTGAAAACGTCTTTCTTCGACAGGTATTTCAATCACCTAGGGGTATGAAACGATAAAAAGAGCTTACTTCAGTCGTAACAGACGGTTGAAATGAGGGCAAGCCCTCCGCGACGCGTTTGGGTGCCGGCCCTGCAGACGGCAGTGCAGGAAAAACTTCATCGT